ACACTATCATCAGACATGAAGAAAACATGATTATGTTGACGTGCTGGCTTCTCTGACAACAATGCAGAAGCCAGTATGTCCCCCTCCTAAGATTCAAATACGGTCCGGAATGTTCTGTTTTAGTTACCCTCACTAGGCTGTTTTAGACGGCCCTCTGTTTTCCAGATATTAGACCAGATATCACGGCAAACCAAAAGGCGTTGCAGCGATGGAAGCGGGCAAGTGAACTGGTTCAGATATAACAGATTTTACCCGACTTAAGATGCCTAGTCAATTTTCTAATAAGCGACATGACCAGAAACGTGGTAAGACCAAGATAAATATTGGAGATGCTTTTGAAAAATGGAGAGGTTAGAACGCTCATTGGTTTCAAGACTGATGCAGATCTGGCTAAACACTGAAGATTTGTGTCCGCGACATGGCAACCCGCGTTTGCATCGACACTAGAGTGCAGGGGGCAGGGGACAGCTCTCTCCAATGTTTTGAATATGAACAAATTTAAACACTATTTGTAAGGGTTACATATTGCTTCTTTAACTGTCAACAGGTCAGTAACATGATTGGGTATAAAAAAAGAGCTCCCAGAGGGACTGAGTCGTTCTTGACTCTGTGACAGAACACACTGACAAATTGTGCAGCAATTTAAGAATAATGTTTTTAACATAAAAATGCAAAGTATCAGGAGATTTCATCATCTGTGGTATATTATATAATTTAAAGATACAAAGAAACTCTGTATGCAATGGACAAGGACTAAAAAACAATATGTCGACCCCTTCTCTTGATCTGATCTCATATCAAATGAGCTGCGGTGAAGCAGAAAACTGTTATGAGGTCTGGCAAGTCCAATTTTGAATTATTGTATGGAAATCCTGGGTTCTAGAGGAGAGAGGCCATCCGGCTTGTTATCAGTACTTATTTTATCTATTTTGTATTAGACAGGACAGTGGATAGAGTAGGAAATCAGGAGAGAGAGTGAGGAATGACATGCAGGAGACCTATGTCAGATTTGAACCCAGGCCACCTGCTTGGAGGATTAGGACCTCCATACAACTTGAAGTTGAAGTTAGAAGAAAAAGTGATACAACAGAGTGGTAAGCATGACCCTGTCCAGACTTTTTGAAATGTGTTGCAGGCATCAAATTTTAATCTGGCTTATGAATTTCCAAAAGCAATGAAACGTCTCAGTTTCCACATTTGATGTGATGTCTTTGTGTCATTAAATATGGGGTTTAAATATTTTCCAATTCATCACATCCTGTTTCCATTTACATTTAACACAACATCCAAACCTTTTTCAATTAGGGTTTGTATGTTTAATGCCTGGCTAGTAACGTTAGCCAAGGTAAACAAACACTTAGGTGTCGTCATACTTCCGTTGTTTATCAGATGAATGAAATGACTGTTACCAATAAAAAAAGATGAATTCTTCTGGGATTGAACATTGTTAGAAACATTTGCGATATTGTACAAAATACAACACCTCATTTTAAACAAACAATGAGGAATGTTTATTTATTATACCTTTTTATAGTGTTACGAAACAATGAAAACTTTCATTTCTATGTAAGCTAGGCAAACACTCAAGTCTGCTGATGAAGATCATAGCATTTGACCAAAAGCTCCACATCACTTTTTGAAGGACCTCCTGGTAAGCTAGGAGGATGTTGTGCCCCTGTGGCCCTTTGGCCCAGGAGTCCTCTTTAACCAGCATTGCTCAGTGACACATAATTAAGACAGTACATACCACCAGTGTAAGAGGTCTCCTCCATGAGATGATTCCAACTATCCCTGACGCCACCACCTGCAGAGAGACGCCATACATCAGACAACAAACCCTTCGGAATCTGTTGTTTTACTTCAAATACTATCAGAAAGAGTTACACTTACAAAGAATCCAGCCCAGAACGGACAGGACTGCCTAACACGGGCTGAGGAGGTGAAGGCTATGCTGGTAAAAGAGAAGGCCAGGACCATGCCCCCCAGGCCCAGGTGGCAAAGCCCCAGGTACAGGAGCAGGCGAGCCCCACCAGGCCCCCGACCAGACATGCCCCTGCGGCTGTCTGACCATCCTCGAGACCCTGAGGCTGAAGCCACGCTACTGGAGTCGGATGGTGAAGGCATGTTTGTGGAGGAAGATTGGCGAGATATCACTCTTACTCCTCCTTCATAAATCAAAGTTCAGCTATGTGGGTAGAAGTGCAGGAGAGTAGAAAAGGCAGAGACATAAATGCTGGCTTCAGGGCTCCACTCTATCAAAATTATGCACCAATCTCTCCACTGGCAAGTGCCATAGGTTCTCCGCAATGCCCCATGGTGTAGTCCAGTCAGGGAGTCCAAGAACTTTGTCAGCAGAAAGTGGAGAATTGAGCAGCCACTACACTCTCACAGCCACTTTACTCACCTCATTTGACGTTTCAGCCATGATTGTTTTAGTCTATACATTGTCCATTTCTCCCACTACAGCCTTGAAAAAGCAGTCTCAGCATTATTTGGCTCAGTCATGCGCACTGGTTAGACCACAGAACAAACACATTAGAAATCACTGTTATACTGGTATGCTTTTCGTTGCTCCCTCTTCTTCTTCTTCTGCCCCCTCGCGTCACTAGCATTACGGTAACTGCAGACCCGAGCAGGCCGCAGAACGTGAAAGCATCCCAAAAGAAAGCAGCTGATCCCTCGTCGTTTCACCTCTCACAAGAGATAACATGAGCCGGTCACGTCGCGTGTCCACCCCAGTGGAGCTCCATCCGAACATGTGCCCTCTCCGACCTTCTCTTCGCTCCTCTTCATCCCGTCACGTCAAGGAGAAAGGGGAAACAACGGTGTGGAGATCAAAGCCCCAAGATCACATCGGTTCGTTCGGGAAGCGGAAGACTTATTACCTCGACATGAACAGGAAATATATATCCTCCATCGATTTTCAAACTGCACCAAAAAAAAAAAGCTGCCGGTCCGGGGTCGGTGTTTCTTCACAGTTTTCAATCTTTCACAACGTTACCTCGGGGGTTTTTGCGGTGGTGGTCCACTCACGCACCTATAGACCCCCCTCCTCCTACCTCTCCGTCGCCTCTTTCCTCCCTGCAGTCACGCGGGCATCCCGTTCAGACCCGTGTGTGTGTGTGTTTGTGTGTGTGTGTGTGTGTGTGTTTGTGTGTTTGTGTGTGTATCCCGGACGTCTACCTCTCTGACTCCCACCAAGCGTCACATGAACGCAACAACATATCCTACCTACATGTTTAAAACAATTCAGGTTCACTTTAATTAATTAGCCCCTCCCCTTGCAGCCCTCGCGCCCTTTCCTCGGGTCCTTGGTAAAGCTCTCACGCTACGAAAAAAAAAAAAAAGAGGAATGTATCGTGTTTGCGAAATAAATCCTGCCCTGCGTGATGACAAGGCACGCAGCAGAAGAAGAACGTGCAGGCAACTTGAGGATGCGGCATATCGCGCGCACACCGTCGTGGTGCTGATGCTGAGAGGGAGGGGCGGTTGCTTAGCGACAAGCTCATGCTGCTGCAGCAGTGAGGGGAAACGCTGTCATCGTACTGACGGCTGTACTGTGAGGATAGTTAAAAAAGCAGGCCGCAGGGGGTCCTACTAAAAACGGGTGTCCCATAGGTAGCCAACTGCTATAGGTATAACCAGCATTGTTTTTGTAATTTGACATGCTTTCTGTAAGTGTTCCTGACAAACACAAAAATGTTTATTTAACTAAACTGTAATAAAACTCAAGTAAAGGTCCAAAAATGAGCAATGACCTGAATTGATCGTTTATCACACATAACCATCATATAATAAGAGATGATGTCTGCCTGGATTCAAATAGGCTACTTCATGTTTGCAATCTACCTGCTATTCAAATTTACATTGTAATTTTTCTACTGGTATTGGTATTTCTGTCACATTTCAGCTTCTTAGGATAGTGATTCACATGTTGTACGAATTGTGAAGACCTTTCCAGTACATTTCACATCGATTAACAACTTCCGTTCTGCTATCAAAATGTATTTCAGTTCCCAAATCCATCATTACAATACAAAAAAAACATACATTTTTTGCTAGACCAATTAAGCAATAAACCATCATAATCATTCTCTGCCATAATTATTTAATTTCTCCATGCATATACGGTATATATATATATATCTTTTTTTCTCATTCTATCATCTAATTTTTCTTTTTTTTAAACAGCTGATAAAAGTATTTTTAACATTAGGAGGGTCTCTTGACAAGCCTCTCTGGGTTCCTATGGCTTCTCCTGCACATTTCTTTCTGAATTTATGTTTTGTTTTTACTTCCTAATCCTTATGTACTGCTTATTATTGTTATTTAAAGAGGACATATTATACCCCTTTTCTAACTTGTCAAACAGTCACCTGTGGTCTAAATGAAACATCTGTGCTGTGCTTTGTTCAAATATAACATGAATCAAGCACCAGAGGAGGTTTGTGACCCTGTATAAACCAGCTCTCTCAGAACGCTCCGTTTTGGTGTGTGTGTCTCTTTAAATGCAATGAGCCCTCCCTTGAGTTTTCCCGGTAGACATCAATCCTCTGTAGCAAGAATAAAAATGGCGGATCTGCACAAAAGTTTTGTTCTAGGCTCGGGGTGGAGTCCATGGGTGGAGATACCAGGGGAGGGGAGTTTTATTTTTCCAGAATCCAACTTGTGACATCACAAGTTGAACAAATTTTAAATGGAGCATTTTTCTTTGTGTTGTAAGACTTATGCAGACCACAAAAAAGGACTGGATGGGTTTATTTCACATTTTGTGGGTCGGTAGACACTCAGGTTACCAATATGTTCAAAAACACTGTAAAAGTAGATTTTTCATAATATGCCCCCTTTAATGTTTTCTTTCCTTATGTGAAATAAAAAAAATAGGCTTTGGGGTTGTATGAAACTTTTATGACTTCTCAAAAAAAACATTTACAAAATTCATGAACAAGCTACCTATGTGATTATGCTGCTTTGGCAACTTACAAAATAAAGCACAGACATCATGTTGTTTCGCATTTTTATTCAGCAAGCGGTAGGTCTGTAATTATACAAACAAAGTCTTGTGGTAGACCTAAAAAAAACAATGTGGCTGAAATGCACAAAAAGCGGATTCAAGATATACAGTACATCTAGGGTGATCCCTAAAATCAAAATGTTTAAATGATGAGATACTGCCTGAACAAGAAAACTGTTGTGTCAAATGTAGCTAATGTGTGATAGTATTCAAGGGAGTTTTACCAAGCACTTCAGATAAAAGCAAGACTCACTAAATCAATTAAGAAGGGGTACTAGTGGGCACTGCTGCTTTCCTCACATCCTGTCAATTCACTTGCATTATCCATCATTCTTTCATCTCTCCACTCAGCGTCTCATATTGCACTTATCTCTGCTCCCTCTTTTCACATTCTCTATCCGTACATTGGTTAAAACAAAGCTTGCTAACCCATCAATGTTAGTTTCTGATTCAGCTACGGACAACAACTTGTTTCATTCATTAACACGAGGGAGAGCACATTTTCATCTTCTCATGGGATGCAACCAGAGAACCACTTTATACTTGACTCTAGGTTTTTAATATTCAGAGGCATCTGTTACAGTAGATTCTGTTGAATACATTATAATACTGGACACTGTTGACATAGTTAATCAATAATTGAAGGATATGCCCTATATACACAACAACAAAAAGGAAATGGAACTATGTGTTGTGAACATTTAATGCTTAATGTTGTAGTCTGTATAAAACTCTGCAATCTTTATATGTAAGCAAGAAAGTGTCCCTTTGCTCCTGTATTGCAATGCAGCATTGTTACAGCACCTTTCTCTGCTGTTTTGTTTTTTGTAAAATTTGCAGAATTTCAAAAAGTGAACTGACAAAAATCAGAAGTGCGTAGGTAATTATTGTTATATTATGACTTTTGTGTGTCCAGTATTTAAACCACTAAATAGAATCTATGAGAAGCCCTTGGTCCTGAGGATTTAAGGTGTGTGCGTGGAAACACTTCGCATCAGTTCCTGCATCTGTCGCCCTGTCAATGCTACTACTGTATTTGCTCACATGTAAAAAAATTAAACTGGTTCACATAGATAAGGCATTTTTTTTTGACACATGTAACCACGTGGAAACAAAAAAGATTCTAAAAGTGCAGCTGAAGTTCTCTTAAGACTTGAAGCAGTGAGTGTTGCAGGAATGATAACATTGTGATAAAGTAGAGAAATATAAATCAGACAGAATGGTAAAAAACTGAACTAAAAAAAATGCTGTGTCAGTTCTCTGTAAGTTGTCTAAGACCCCACTTTGCAACTTTTATATCAAAACACTCTTATGGGGGGAACATTAAAAAAAACACCAGCATTTTGGTATAAAAACATTCTTAAAAAACATTTTGACGTTTGTATTTGATATACTAGCCCACCAGATGGAGACAGAGGACCTGCTGTGCTATATTTCTCCACAGTAATACTTTCGTGTTCTCAGATTTGTGTGGTGCTTTATGTTTGGTCCTCAGCATTGCATCTAGAGAATAAGACATTTGGAGGTTTTTTTCTCTGTACTGCTTGTGATTTTCACCTCTCGACCTGTTGGGCCCTGTTGAAACAAATATCCACAAATGAAGAAAACGTGCCTAACTGGTTCAACTTAAAGTTACAAATCCTAAATCAGGAAGAAGACATGCTTCCGTTTGGTATTATTTAGTAGGAGAGTTTGTTTGGACTTACTGGTTTCTTGCTGGATTTCTGTAGTATGTCTCGTGCCAAAGACAGAAAAGACTGCGAGAAACATGGAAAGAGAAAATGAGAAAGAGAGAGTAAAGTTTAGGACTTAGTGGCATTCAAACAAATAAACCCACTATTAAGTGACAGATTAATGAATATGATGAGAGTATTTTTGCCAGTCAGTAGTCAAGTTCCAGCTCACCTCATCCACGTTAATGCTGGACTTTGCGCTCGTCTCAAAGAACCTGATGCCGTGATCCTTAGCCAACTGTAAACAACAGATAATAGATCAAGATATGGGTAATGCTAGTTTCCTGCTTCTTATCTTGAGTAAATGTAAGTGTGGGTGCAGAAAAAACACATAACACACACAGTGCCTTCCTCAAACAATCCTCCCTCAGATTAAATAAAAAACCTTCACCAAAGTCTTCACCTCTATCATCTCGTTTTACAATGAGACCAGTGACAAATACAGCACCATGGTTAAGAAACACTACTGTTACTGCTAAATTACACTATAATAAAAAAAAAGAGTTTATATTTCTCTTAGGGGCATCTTACCTTTTCTCCTGTCTCCTTGGAAACCTTCCGCTTGGCCTCAATGTCACACTTATTACCTAGTAACATTTGACTGACCCCAGCTGATGCATTCTGAGAACGAAAGAATGCAGTTAATTGATTGGTGAAACTTCAGATCTTGTCTACAAGACTGTATCAGGAAGTACACTAATACAGAAAGTGAAGCAAGCAGAGGTCTTTACATCAAGGCTGAACTGAATGAGCTGCACTGTCACCGTCCTACGACGTGGGCATTTGTAGGTTGTTGATTTTCATTTAGCAAAGATCTAAGATGGATACATTTGTATATTTAGTTTTATTTTTTATGACATTGTTGATATTTGCTTACACAGAGAGGATCCTCTCTTAATGCATTCAAATGTACTCTGTATTATGTATTTGTTGTCCAGCTAGAATACAAAGAAAAAAACAAACACAGTAAAGATATCCAGTGCAAACAGATCATTTGCATAAATAAGAGTTAGGACTTTTTCTACTCTGGGCTCTTTTTTTAATCATTTTTAAATAACCTTCATTTAAGCTAATGAGATCCAGATCTCTTTCACAAGGGTGACCCAACCAAGAGGGCAGCAGCACACGTCATAATAAACATTGCCTGATTAACAGACAGTTTACAAACAATAAGAAAACTGTTTCTTAAGTCTGATAGAAAGTTACCATGCATCGAAAGTAGTTGAGAGAGAAAGACTGGAATGCTGACTATCCTTCAAGCATGGCATTGGTTTTACTTGACTCAACTCACATGGATTTAAAGTTTTCTTTCATTTGTTTTTTGCAGATAATGCCTGATCACAGAAACTAAGGTTTAAAGCCACGCATCATCATTTGTAAGGAAAGTGTGTTGCTAATGTTTTGTCTTTAATGCAACAAAATGTTAAATAATAAAATCCATAACGTGAATATAGTTCCTTTCACCCAATACAAAGGTGCCACACCAGTTTGCTAAATCTTAAATTCTATCAGAATTTCTATTTCTATTAGGTCGTTGTTATTGTGCTGGGTGTCTTACTGCACAAGCATCAGTTCTCCTTGACCAATCGGAAGTCTGCAATTTGTTCAACTCCACCTTTTAGAGTTCATTAAGGGTACTTAAACCTCTATTGCGATCATATCAAAAAGAGTACCAAGACCCAAGATCTGTTCACAACTTTTATAATGCAAAAAGAACAGTTCCATATGCGTTTTTGAAGGCTTTTTATTGTGATTTGGGTGAACTTTCCCTTTATTAAATCCCAAGTGGTACATCACGCCTCGTTATTGTTGATTAAGTAAATGATCAAAATCATGACTAAAATGTATCCAACTGACTTATCACTATTTTAAAAATGTTCCCTGGTCTTCTTTGTCATGACATAGTCGAAACAGTCTCACCTCTTTGATGCTCTTCATCCAGTTCTGGATGTTTTCATAGGACTTCTCGTCTGTGATGTCATAGACCAGGATGATGCCCTGACGCAGACGTACAAAAATGAGACAGGGTTTAAGGAGTCAGTTGAAGGTACAGGGCTAAAATAAAAAGCAGCAGTGATGTCAGCCTGATTATCCAGTCTGCTTGTTCTGCAGCAGTCTTGAACTCACCATGGCTCCTCTGTAGTAAGCTGTCGTAATGGTCTTGAACCTCTCCTGGCCTGCTGTGTCCCTGCACAAAGCACACACATTCAGTTAACTCATGCATGTCTTGCAAGAATCTTGTAGAAAAAAAGGAAGTTGGAGGTATTGAACACAGGAATGCATTTAATGTGTATTCTACACTGCTAAAGCAAGATTAATTCATTTTGCTGACACAACATGTCATGACAGCCATGTAAAATAGCTTACTTGGCAGTAAACTGTCATAAAGTCCTGACTTGGAGAACAACAGGGAGGTTCCTTTTCTTCTTTAACTCGTATTACTCAGCCTAATCTGCCACGCCAAATCACAAAAAAAAAAAAAAAACACTTATAGACACACAACCAACTGTCAACACTCACCAGACTTGTAGTTTCACTTTCTTCCCATCCACTTCAATGGTTTTCACTTTAAAGTCAATGCCTGAGAGACAACAAGAGGACAGGAATGAGCAGAGAGGAGGGGGGATGATGTGTTAAATACCTCAGATATGAACTCAAAACAAAACCAAGCGGGCAAACACACACACACACAATAGAATATATAGGTCACCCTCACAGGGGTGGATTCATGGTCACTCCCGCTGTGATTTTGACCCCCTCAGTGCACTCAACAAGCAGAGACATATGAAGGAAAGAGGTAAAGCCCTGTGAGTTTGTGTTTTCTTTTCCTGCTGGACGGACAGACAGATAGACAGCAATGGGCAGAGGAGGAGGAGGAGGAGGAGGGGGTTCTGTGCAGGCCAGAAAAAAAACCAACCAATCTTCTGGGAACATAGAGATGGTGAAAAAGATAGGAATGAGGGTGGGTGGACTCTCTGAGAGCCAAGTGAGAGGAATGAGATCTGAAGGAGAGATGGGAGAGAGAGGGGTCAGGGAAAAGACACGCAGTCAAGAGTAGAGGGAAAATAAGAAAGATAAGACTGAATGAAAAAAAGGAAAAATAAATTGTACACTTTGGGCTTGTTCAGACATGAAAACAGTCCGAGAAACCAGTTGGTACAGTGCTGGAATCAAAGACTGAAATCATGACAACATGTCTCACGAATGACAAGCCCCTGCAGATATGCCGTTTAGGTTAACAAAGCAAATGTATCACTGTAATGACAACATACCAATGGTGGAAATATATGTAGAATTGAAGTTGTCCTCCGCGAAGCGAATAATCAGGCATGTTTTGCCCACTCCGCTGTCTCCGATGAGCAACAATTTGAAAAGGAAATCGTACTTTTTCGCCATGGTTGTAGTTTTTCTTGAAAAGTAAGCACAGTTAACAAGAGGAAAAGTAGTCTGGTTGTTGTTCCTTCCTTGGAGTAGCCAACTTTACATCGACATCAGTTTGAAAATCTGGATCAGTAAAATGAAGCAAAGACCCCAAAAAAGTTTTCTACATGTAACGAGACTATGCTTTTTTCTCTCTTTCTGACTTGTCACCGGTAAATTCCGATCCCCCTCAGTGCCTCTGTGCTCTGTTTGGACTGCGCTGGATTAAATATACACTCCATGAAAAAGTTTGAAGTCTACTGTGGATGAGTCCAGATCGTCAGCTGGTCCATTTTTGCTGTCCTCCGAAAGTCTGTATTTTACATAGTTTACAAACGCACCGGGGTGGCTACGTGTGTTTTTCCCCTGTCTCCAGTAAAACTTGCCGTCGGCGTAGATCCCAGATCCGCTGAAAAGGGCTACGTAGTGTGGGAGTCTCCATGGGGGTAAGGGCTCAAGAACTAACTGCAGCTACAGAGCATGGACACTAGATGGCACCGTTTCACCAGAAAACAAATACAAGCGATAGAAAAAAAAAAGAAAAGAAAACCTGTCTGTGGCCGAAATCGCATACTTTCATACCATCCATAGTAAACACGACCTCATATTGAGAAGAAGTCACTTGATATGTCCAGAAGTCCGCCCCCCCCGCTGAACCCCCCCCCCCCGTTCCCCTGCACATCACCTCACACCCATCATCCCCCCACCACTCCTCCTGGTCACACACACATCTCTCATCCACCTGTATTATTGTATTATAGTATGTTCATATCCCCTCAATAAGTTATCGACCTGTACAATATGTCCATATTCTGTATATTATCTGTAAACTAGTATAGCATGCTCACTGCACCTTAATCTGTATATTATAATCTGAAGAATATACTTATATTTATAGCATTTATTTATATTTATAGCATCCCATTAATCCAGCCATATATACCTAATAAGTCACTTTTTTTTAGTCTACATCTGTAAATTGTGTAATTACTTGTACATAGCACAGACTCTTGCACTTTCTGCTTATTTGCACTTCTGGTGAGATGCCAAACCTCATTTCGTTACTCTATACTTATATATGTGTAGTGACAATAAAGTTGAATCTCATCTCATCTCAAGTGGTAAAATTTTCTTTTTACAGAGATTGTTCAGATGTAGGGCCTATTCTTCAGCTCCTCTTTTTTTTTAAACAAACACATTTACTCTTCTCAGGTGTTACCTCAATGCTGTCTAACTGGTTAAAAGTAGTCGGCCTAAGTTACTCGGAAATTACAAAAAATGTAAATACAATATTGTAAAAGCAACAAATAGTAGGGTGTTTACAGTGTAACCGCCCCTGCAGATAAGTGTAACATCAAAATAATTTTATTTTACTGTTGTATTAAATAAAACGCTTAGTTCATAAAAAAAAAAAACAGATAAGGAAACCAAGACAATAAAAATAATAAAGAAATGATATCTTAAGTTGAAAAGTATTTTTTCCGGCCTGTCTCTCCTTCAGCCACTCAAGTTTCCGGTTCATCGTCAGTGTGTTATTCCGGTGAGCTCCCAGATACGCAGACATGCCAGTGAGTAACTCTACCACTTCTAGATTTGAAATTAGACTTTTAAAAGTGTCTTTTACGAAGGAAACTTAATATGATGTTAAATAGTGCTCTGTGTACTCTGTAGCCAACGCGCTTTGTTTGGATATTATGTATTTATAAAGATGTGAAAACGGCCGCAATATGGCGAGACACGTGTAACACAAAGCCGCCACGAGGCTGGTTTTTTTTCTTACTGCTAGTCACATGTAGATTTTATTTATTTGCAGGTTTAAAACTTGAACTTTTAAAGAAATCTAAGGTTGTGCTATGAGCGTAAATGCTATAAAGATTGCAAAGATTTTTGCTTGCACTTTACTTCGCTGTTATCACATTTCCTGTCATATGAAAGCTGTAAAGGCGTGTCGACCTTTGCTCTTTGTAATTGTATAAATTAGATTTTTTTTTAAAAACAGCTTATATTTTTATTTAGTGTCGTGATTTAAATTAATGTAGCCTACATGAATCGGTGATATAATTATTTATAAACTCATTTCAGCTCGCAAAGGATCTATTGCACCCCAGCGTCGAGGAGGAGAAGAGGACACACAAGAAAAAACGTCTTGTGCAGTGTCCTAACTCCTACTTCATGGATGTCAAATGTCCAGGTCAGTTGATGTTTTTATCATGGCTACCTGGCCAAATCCTCGTTTTCAATATGTAAAGAAGGCAAAATGTTTCCAGTAACAAAGTACACCAAAATCACAAGTATTGTACACAAATATCATATAATGTAAACAATTAAGAATACCATTTTGACATCTGAGCACATTTTTGTACTATATTAACTTAGATACTTAGAATATGTGCTGCTGTTGTTTTGATAGATTTGATTTAAAACAATGGAACATGTACAGACATGTATCAAACATTGTTGCCTCTATGTGTTGCCCTTTCATTTTTTCCTTGGTGATCAGGGTGTCAAATGAGGCATACAGGGACACTTGTGACTGTCTGTATAATGAGTTTCATGTGACTCCTTAACACACAAACAGCTGCAAGGACACATCAGTAAGCAGGTGTACCTGTGGTAATGTAATTATGGTTATGTTGGCCGCTGGCTGTTTATTGTAATGTTTAATTTTCATGGCTGTTGTATTTAATGAATCTCTGTGTCTTTTCTGCAGGCTGCTACAAGATCACCACGGTGTTCAGCCATGCACAGACTGTAGTACTGTGTGTCGGCTGTTCCACAGTCCTCTGTCAGCCTACAGGAGGCAAAGCACGACTTACAGAAGGTACAGAAAAAACACAATGTAGAGTGAACAATATATTTTCATCTTAACTATACCTATAGCTCCTTATGTAAAATCATAATTGTTTAGATAGAATACAGATACAAAATGAATATGTAGGTCTATATTTCCGAGCATTGGCTTGCTTGATTTAATAACAGATAATTAAATTATCAAGAATTGTGAGTTATTTCATATCTGAATTAATATCACGTGAAAAAAAGTACAACTTCTCCATTCAAGCCCATCTTATACCCATAATACAATCTGCCACCGACCAATAGCTTTCCAAGCAGAAGCTTATATGTCGAAAAATCAAACGCATGACATGCAAGATTGTTTACTAGGTTAGCAAGGCAACTACCCCAGGGCAGGGGTTCCCAAACTTTTCAGCCTGTGACCCCCAAAATAAAGTTGCCAGAGACTGAGCACCCCACTGTCCCTGAAAGTGGGGACAGTGGGGCGCACGCACTAATCGGCCTCTCCAAATACTGGCATAAGAATAACACAAAAGGGGCACGCTGGTGGCGCAATGGTTAGGGCGCGTGTCCCATGTGTTGAGACTCTCGTCTTGAGCGGTAGGCCCGGGTTCGCCTCCACCAGTGGCCCCTTTCCGCATGTCATTCCCCGTTCTCTCTCCCTGGTTTCTGACTCTGTCCACTGTCCTATCTCTGCATTAAAGGCACGAAAAAGCCCAAAAAATCAATCTAAAAAAAAAAAAAAGAATAACACAAAAGACCACAGCAGCCTTTAATAGTTACTGTATATTATTTCAGTGTCTCTGTATGCTTTTTTATTTTGCAGAGAGCAACAGACGCATGCATTGTCGCGGTCTTGTGCAAACTTCCATTTGAAGGATTTTTTACACACTGCTTTCATTTTAGCAAAATTCTTAAGAACGATGGTTTCATTTTAAATTGAACAAAAGTGTTGTATATAATTTTAAAATATAGGTTAAAAAAATGCAATTTTAAGTCATTTGTATTTATTTTTGGAAGGCATCTTGCAATCCTCCAGGGGGTCACAAACCTTACTTTGGAACCACTGTTCTAAAAATACTACCAGTTTATTAATGTTTTGGTTATAATTTTCAGCATAGAGTACCATTTCAACAGCTGAATCCATTTTGTGACCCCTTTTAAAGTGGCATTTTAACTTCTTTATTATTTTGAAATGTAAATGCATGCACATGAAATATATTTATAAAAAAAATTGAAGTTTTATGCAACCAAAAGTTCTAATCCCAGTTGATTGGTGCTGTAGAGTTAGGGTCAGGCTGCAGAACATTGCACCTGAATATTTGCCTCTGTGTTGCCCTCTCAATGTTTTCTTCATGATGAGGGTGTCGACTGAGGCATACAGTGACTCTTGTGGTTGTGACAGAAATTCATCATGATTGATCTATTTCTACACAGTCGGCTACAAGCACAACTTTTTCATTCAGATGTTTTATTTAAGAATTCTTTGAGTGAAAACAAAGCTATATTTTTGCATAAACTCTCATAAAGGTGTAAGAAGTCCTTTCCCATTAGAAATCGACAGTCACTGAAGAAGTGATGATGTACTGTGTGCAGTATTTTGGTGAATTGTTTGAGCTTGAGGTCAAGGTTTGTTCTCATTGTCTCACCCACTCTATCCTGTACTCCGCTGCCGTGGTAACCAAGGGCTCCTCAGTACGCTGTGCTGTGAGTTACTATGCGCACAGCTGCAACTGTCGGCACTAAAACCACGCTTGTTTGGAGGTGACTCAGGGTTTGAAAAGGCAGATAACATTAGTATAAGTGTTCTTTGTTTGTATCCTTGGCAGTGAGTCAGTTTATACACTAGATACTGAATATGTTCATTCTATTATATACTGTATACAAAGTAGTTTCCCAACACGCCACAAATATAAACTGACTTTTTAGAGGCTCTAACGGGGCTCTAAAACAAAATCAATCTGAAATGGTTATTTCTTGTTTTTGGTTCCCTTGGACTACTCTGACTACAGTCATTTTTCTTTGGTTTGGGACTGATTGTTGCACAAATGACACGTCTTTCAATGTCACCTTGACTTTGGGCGTCATACAATTTTCTTGCAAATTTCAGGCAGAATAATTAGCAAATAAATAAAAAACAGAAAACAGTCAGAGCTTAGGTGATTCTGCTGTGTTGTAGCAAGAGTCATTTGAAATCTAAGTAACATAAACAGAGTGGGTTGTTACAATTCAGCATCACAACTTGATCCCCACCTCTTTCAAACAGCCAACACAAACTACATAACATTCAGCCTTTTGAATTAGTAGGTTGGTTAAATTTGCACCAAAATGGAATAACTCCTATACTTAATTTTCTTCATCTTTCCACAGGATGCTCATTTAGAAGGAAACAGCACTAGTATGACTGGAGGTGGTCAGAAACAGTTGAGAAAGAATGGACGGAGCAACACTGCCATGGAGCTGATGCAGCACTGAGGAAATGGAGGGCGTGAAATACAAATCATGTAATATAAGAGGCCTATCAACAGAATATGCACAGAGGAGTAATCGGCATTGATGAGATCCCATCAACAACTCATATCCATTAATTAGTTTCTCTTAATAAACATAGTTTGTTTATGTTAAAATAATATTGCAAGTTGGTCATCCAGTTTGTTCTTTTGTTTTTTCTCATGAAACTCTCAGATGTCATCCGTCTGTTAGAAGGCACTTGTATACTCAGGACCCTTAAAAAATGTGCTGGAATAGATCAGGGGATTTAAGTGCTCTGGCACTTATTGAAGCTGACTAACGCGTGGCTTTAAGTGTCATTTTCGTAAGCACTTGTTGTAGAAAAGTTCTATGCATTGAGACACACTTCAGCTAAAAATCACCTTAAAGAAACTACTTTACTACAGGTTTTACAATTTTGAAGGTGCACTTTACCTAATGCATAATGATGTGTGTTCATTTGGTAATATTCCAAACAGTACCGTAATACATAATGTATACCTGCCAAATTAATGAAAAAGTGAAGTCAACATTTTATTCTAGTATGAGAGTTTTTACAGCGGTGCCTGCCTGCTCTAAAGCCATTTGTGTTGGTGTAGGGCTGTTCTTTGTCTAAGGGTGGTTTCATGGAGAATCATCGTCTGCTCTGGTTGATGCTTTTGGACAGAAACCCAGTACACAGTGATGCGTCACTGAAAGACACCATATTGGATATTTTGGTTGCGATTTTACACATGCTTGCTATCTTCTTGATAAAATGCTAAAAGTATTTCTTCTGCCGTTGCAATAAAAACAAACAAAGTCTTTGGCAGAGAAAAACAGCATGATATAAAACATAGATCATATTTGTGCCCTTCAGTGTAATCACAGCTTTTGTTTTTGGTTGTGAGCATGTAGGGTGTTTGCACAGTCTTTTAATGTGAAAGCAATTATCAGTATACTGAATATAGAAATAAAATCTTGGGGAGGAATGAATGATAACTTTCTTTTTGTTATGGTGAAGGTTTTTCTTATGTCTTCCTTGTAAATTGGAAAGAACTTAAAATAAATACTAAATGGGAGTAAAAATGTTGTGCCTTCTGGTTACTGAGCCACCAATATAGAATAAACAATCGATGTCAGCCATTTTGAAAATATTTTGTATGAAAACTCGAGTTTCATTACAGAACAGGATACTGATGTGCTGCACACAGAGTTCATAGCTATTGCTCACATCTGCCGTGTCTGTAGTTGTCCTTCTGATTACATAGTGTATATAATAAAAATTCAGTAACAAAACCACATAGCACTATATTACGAAAATACAGTAAAAGACTAATCTATTAATATATAAATTCAGTAATGTAAATTGCAAATTATAAACACTGTTTAACATGAGAACAACTCTGGTCTGCTTTTAGCCAGCACTTGACCTTTGTTGTCATAAGACTTCAAATCTGGGCTCTGGTTATTTTATTTAAGTAGAGTTTTTACCCTTAATGGAGGAAGATGATAGTCAAAATATAGATCTTCAAAGTTTTATGTTATGTTCAGTTTGTCATTCACCATGCTTCTAGTGACTATTATTGTACTGTCTTTGTACTTATCTTGAAAGAGTTTCATGGGCGAGATAATTGATACATTTGGAAACTAATTTGAGAAAATATAAATGCAGAAAAGCCCTAGAAATTAAATAGGTTGTATCTTTTATGTGGCAGTGATGCCACTGGACTGGTTTTCTGGCCATTATTTTCGGGGCCAGGTTGTATAGTGATGACAGGTTTCTGATAGGAGAGGGGGAAGCTTAAACCCATGCTGTCATACAAAACATACAGAAAATCATAGAATGTATGGACACCTGGGCTGCCTGATTTGGTATGTAGTGCCTAATTAGTTTAAAACAATAAAGGTAGGTCTTTTTTGAGATTGTCTTTACATGTTTATCAAACTTAAGCTCTGGCCGTAACACTATTCTTCAGAACTTGAACTCATTAATCCCCTACTCTCCATTCTTTATCTTAACATTTAAACTTCCACATGAACACTGTTTTCTTATAGATAAACAGAAAATGTTTTATTTAGATTCAATACAAGGCTCATGACAAGTTTTAAGGAAGAAATTTATAAATGAAATAAAAAGCAGAGGGCCAAGAACTGACCCTTGGGGAATACCCTTTCTGTTGTTTAAATTAGATTTTTTTTTTGGTTTACTGTTGAATATTTTAGTTAAATGAATAAATATCTTCTAACATCAGTTTCAAATACAGTGATTGTCAATTGTTAGCACAAGTTATTAAAGTCTCAAGTTAGCAAGATTGGATTTTCACTCTGCATTATCGGACACCACTATTTCTGACTGTAGAAAACCATTACTGCCTGAATCATTTTCATCCATCCATTTTTGGCCACTTGGCAATTTAACTGTAACTCAATAAAGTTTATCAAGAGGAACTATAGAATACAGGGACGGTGAATAACAGCTGGAAGGTGGACCCTCCTAAGAGCAGCAGACACATCTGTACACACCTGCAGAGAATAAAAGAAGGGACATTTAAACTTTGTTTTACAGTCAAAACCCTGAAAGCAAAGCAGTGGTGTTTTAATCTTAGTGTGGGAATATTTTCACCACTGACTGTAATCTGTAAAGGTGTAGACAGGGGGTGCTCAAGTGAAGCGTATGAGTTTGCAGCCTGGCTCTCTGTTGTTATTTGTCCTCCTTAAGAGGGCACTTATAGCTGACAACACATGTCTGGAATTGCTGGTTGATCTTGGTTTCCTCTGTTCCTTATAGGTCAGTGTGTTTGGAATATTGTTAGGCGTCTCCTCAGAAGCACTTTTGTGTTTATCTGTACATCTATTAACTAGCCCTGTTTTTCTCTGCTCCCTAATCTAAGCATTAATGTGGTCTTTTATATGCCCCCCTGTTTGTGTGGTTCTTAATATCAGTGCATTCCTCTGTTTGAATGGATACAGACAGGAAGATAAAGCAGGAATGATACTTACAAAAGTGTAGTCACTGAGGAAGGTGTTACTGGTGTCCATTTTGTTGCATACCAATATGTGGCTATCGAATCCTGAAGTCATCTGTGTCAGGTCATCTCTGAGTAGGAGGCAGAGAGGAGGGACAGAATACAGGATCGATAGGGGGGTGCAGAAAAAGTCATTCAGAGACATGGCAAGATGAGTTTTTACAGTATTGATCTGAGCAGTTTGCATTCTTGTCCCAGCTTTAAATCTGGCAAATGAAAGTCGTTGGAAATAAAAGAAAAGTGATATTAGAGAAAGAAAGGAAGAAAGAATGAAAAAATGACCAGACATGATTCTGAGGTTATAGCATTGTGCAGAAGAGATTGTTGGGGTGTGTTTTTTTTTCTGTTTGTTGAGAGTGTGGCTTTCACTGTATGAATACATGAGCAAAGCCAAATGCAGTGACCTTGGTCAACTGCAAACACACACACATACACACACGTTTTGTTTGTTTGGGTTTCTCCTTTGCCAAGGACAGAGCAATTACACATCATTAGCATACAGTGCACAATTAGTGGGCTTAAACTCTAATGCAAGGTCTGGCTGATCCCACGAGTCTCCATGGAAATGACCTCCAGCAGAGCAGAGTCTGTGTCCAGGCACACACTGACACAGGACACAAGGCATCTGGCATCTGTTGAGCACAAGACAACAACACTGAGGTCATCATGGACAACAGAATCATGATGTCTGGGAAAAAATATTTCCCATTCAACATATTCACATGGTGGGCATTTTTCTTCTGACATCAAACTCAGGTGTGAAGCTCAAATGCTGTTTGTTGTGCTGCTGTATATCAGGATGTAACTGACATCCCTTCTGGATTGAAAAACCTGAAAAGACAATTGATAGGGAAATCAGAGGTATATCTGTCCATATATTAAAGTAAACCAACACATTTGTTAACCAGCTAAACCGTTGAATAACAGCTAATGCTACCATTGGTTCTAGATGACATCACCTTGGCTACAATTAAACAAGTTATTATGGCAGCTAGTTATATCTCCCATATTTGTCCTAGTTAACACATTTCTGGTCGTGGAGCCTACCAGAAAAATTTGGAGGCTTTTTAGGTTGGGTAGGGTTAGTTATATCTGAACCAGTTCACTTGGCCGCTTCCATCGCTGCAACACCCGTTGGTTTGCCGTTTGCCTGGCCAATCGAGGGGCGTCCAAAACGGCCGTGTGGGGGTGCCTTAAAACTGCCTAAAATTCTCTGGTCAAAACAAAAACAACTATTCCGGACCTGATTTGAAACTTGAGGAAGATACTGGCTGCTTTGTTGTTGTCAAAGAAGTCCGCAATCATGTTTCTTTAATGTCCAATGATATGGTAAGGTCATTTTATGATTTAATTCTGTAGATATCTTACATATTGCTCCTTTAATTATTGTATAATGGTAGTGTAGCTACTGTGTTATCCAATTAATTCAGCTGGGAGTGGTGATTTGTTTACTTGGTCAGAAACCCTGAATCCATATTGTTAACAACCTGCAACCCAGCAGCAATGTCCAATTGCTGTTGTCAAATAGCAATGTCAACGTCTAAGCATGTGGAAAATAGCGGTTGTATAAATTTGGTCAATTGCTAATATCACTGAATCCAAAATGTTTCCACAGTCGAATCCACTGCCACTGTTACAGGGAGGGAGTGAGTGTCAAGGACTTAAATTTAATTAACTGATTCAAAGACTTTTCTGACTTCTGTTGCCTGTTTGCCATAGAGAAAGACACATACAAAAGCAGGTAGTAATTGGGTTGTAAAAGCATAATTTGCAACACTCACTGTAATTGCTGACTGTAATGGTAATGGCTTTGATGACACTGGTTGATCTGTAGTATAATCAGCAGGCCATTTCCATTATCTCCAGCTATTCCCCACATCTCATTTTCCTGTCTTTGTTAAACAGAAAAGCTTCTCTTTAGCCTAGTACATAGTTTTTTACCTTCAGAAATATTGTGCAACATAGAGAGACTTCTTGAAAAAGGACTGCTATAGAAAGATATTTTGGCCATACAAGTTAAACGTCTTCCATATTTAAGTTAGGTAAAGGCAAACAAACAAATACAGTAAGATTAAATATGAGGTATATCCTATGTGTTCACTGGTGACATGAGGGTTGTTTCATAGGCTTATGCTGGATCTACTTTAGTGCAACCATCTCTCGGAGGAAGAGAGAGTCAGGGTCCCTCCAAGCTCCAGAGTCGCATAGTAAATATATTAGCATACATATGCTTACAAGCACACATAGGCATCATACAGTACAGCATACACTACATGCAAATTCACTCTTTCACTAGCTTGCATACCCACACATTCACACAAAGGACAGGAACACATACACAGTAGTACACACTTCTGTATTAGTGAGGGTCACTGTGATGGATGCTCTCCCCGAATGGCCAAGAGTATAAAAAGCCCAGCAACCTGGTGAGAACAATCAGTCATGTCAGCTTGTCACAGCTTGAAATTAATCATTCCTGTGTCTGTGATAATTTCCTGCATTAATTATTCTGACCATGTAGCTTAAATAGTCTGCACACTGGGAGTGTGTGTGCCAGCACCATGTGGGAAAGAACATTTAAGGATGAAGAGGAGTATGGGGAGTCTCTGAGCCTGGGAGGTGGGGATATCAAACTGCACCCCCTTCTGGTCAAACCCTGTCATCTTCGGCTCTAAACCCTCACTACATGGCCCAAAGGGAGAATGAAAGAGAAATCCACAGGATGCATGAGATAAATAATTTCTAGTGCATCTCTAAAATACTAAAGTATGGAAATATTTGTTCAGATCATCTTCCTGAGGGAGAAAAACAGGATGGCAGAGAGAAGATGTAAACACAGGCTGCTCCCGTGTTTGAGCACACTGCTTTGTGTTGGCTAATTGCAGCTGAGCCCCTAATGGAGGAGGCAGATAATGTGTTACGACTGTTGTCAATAGTAGCATGGGAGAGAGGCTCATCAAATGTAAATATATA